AGGGTCAATTATGACAGTAGCCCCTATATTTGGTCTTTGTGTTATTTTAGTCTCTATAATTTCAATTGGTTCAATTTTAATGTTGAATTTATGATTTTTTTTTTCTCTATTTGGTCAAATTGATTACAACTCTTAATAATTTTTTTATGAAAAATGCGCACATAAGTGGCATGTGTCATATTTTTAAGGGCAAAATTATAAATTACTCAATTCAATGAGTTAACCTCAACCAATTTAGTGATATTCTTCTTTTGCCGATCAAAAAATAATAATTACACTGACCTTACTTTTGGTATATGTTTTCATTTTTTTATATTTTATTGTGTGTTTTTTAAAAATAAAAATAAAAGAACATTTATTGTTTTCATTTTGTGATAAATAGTTTTTTAAAATAATAATAATAAAATAATTCTTAAAAAATAGTTTGTCAAAAATTTTAGTTTTACTTTTTATTTTTTTTATTCTTTGAAACTAATGGTGGTGGAGATTTGGCATGAAAATGGTACACTAACCCAATACAGTATTAATAACATTACTCTAAACTATTTCAATTGAACTGAACCCCATGTATGAGCACAACTCAAAACATGTTTTTGAAAGTTTGCGGAAAAATAATTTATTTTGAAAAGCACTTTTTCAAAGAAATACCACCTGATTACACAATCTAAGATACCTTCTACAAGTGTGTTGTTGATAATACCTCACCAAGCGATCCAAGTGTCTCGCCTCCAAAGTAATTCACCTTGCACCCTCTTTGCTTTATTTTTGTGTATATATTTTCTACAGACCTTAAAAATTATGATGGCCAATTTTTGTATCAAATACATCTGATATATATACACAACATATGATAGAGTTTGCATGTAGGTGAGATCCTTAGGGATCTCTATCTTTTAGTTGTGGGGATAAAATAAAAGATGTATCTTTTATCTTAAATATATAGGATACAACTTATCCAATTTTTCTTTAACTATCTTTTAAACAGATAATATAAAACTTTCACTAATTGCAATAATGTCCATCAACACATTACTATTAAACTCCCAAAAGTAGAGAATTACAAGTGAGGCCTTTTCTTACAATTAATCACAAATTTCCTTCCACCAAACTATATTCCACATGAGCTATTAGGTATGGACAAATTTATCACTATCAAAAGCCCTAACTCATGTAACCGAACTCTAAATTTTTCCTTCTTCTAATTGGACTCCAAAAGCATTTTTCAAAAATAGTACTTTTGTAATTATATATGTATAAAATATTTTTATGAAAAAGTTACCGGCCTGTTTTCTTTTGGTCCAACATTAATAGGAAAAATTGTTTGAATATACTTTCTCACTTTAAGAATGGTGGATTCCATGTTAAGCACCTATATAAATCAATTACCACTCACATAACCCAACATGTCCGTGTATAGCCTTTGGTTCAGCGTCACCGATTGACAATATCAAAGTTAAATAAATAGTTATTTAATTTATACAAGCCTCTCAGGTCAAAGGAAAATAAGTGCATTGTAATAGAACTTCCTTTTAAACTGACAGTGATCATTCCATAGGTGTTCTCAAAACTGATCCTGTTCAGTGCATGTACTTATTGCATAACACCCACCTATTTGCCTGAGGTCACTATCTCAATGATAGAGTTAATCATTCTATCATACAGTAGCAAAACAGGTGTAGACCATAGTAGTGTGATGCCCAATCAACACCCATAGCCTAGAACATTAATTAGGTCTACAAGGTACCGAAAAATCGTAACTCTCAGCTTTTGGTTCATTAACCATTAGCATGTTTTTCTATAATGTTACCCAAGGGACCTTATGTTCACATCATATGTAACATTACCCAAAATAATAATATACAAAGTGAAAAATAAAATACCAAACAATTTATTTAATCAATCAATAAAGTCAACAAATTGGTTTTTGAGGGCACAAATGCTAACATTCTCCCACTTGCACTCAAAACCAATTACACATGTATTTAATACCCATTATCTCCAAGCGCTTTTCAAAAACCTTCTGAGTTAAGGCTTTTGTGAAAGGATCTGCAACATTTTCAGCTGATGCAATCTTTGCTATTGACATATCTCCTCTATGAATGATATCACGCATCAAGTGAAATCTACGCTTAATGTGCTTTGTCCTTCGATGAGCCCTAGGCTCAATAGCAGGTATTGTCACAATAAACAATTATAGGAGATTCAATTGTTAGGACAACACCTAGTTCTTGAATGGACTTGCGAATCCAAACAGCTTCCTTTGCAGCCACATACTCTACTTCAGTTGTAGAATCTGTAGTAGTATCTTGCTTGCAACTTCTCCAACTTATTGCTCCCTTTCCAAGAGTGAACACAAAACCAGAAGTTGATTTTCTATCATTGATATCAGATTGAAAATCTGAATCGGTGTAACCTTCAACAACCAAATTTTCACTACCAAACACTAGAAAATAGTGTTTAGTCCTTTTCAAATATTTCAAAATGTGTTTCATTGCTGTCCAATGCTCTGGACCTGGATTGGATTGGTATCTACTCACAACGCTCACTGCGTAACAAATGTCAGCCCTAGTACAAAGCATTGCATACATGAGACTTCCCACTACCGAAGCATAAGGAATATTTCTCATTTTTTTCTCTCTCTTCTTGTGTTTTTGGAGCCATTCCCTTAGAGAGATGAATTCCATGCCTAAAGGGTAGGAACCCTTTCTTGGAATCTTGTATGCTAAATCTTGCCAGGACTTTGTCAATATAATTGACTTGTGAGAGCCCAAGTAATTTTTTCTTCTGGTCTTTAAACAATTTGATCCCGAGTATATAACTAGCTTCACCAAGGTCTTTCATTGCGAAGTGATTAGATAAACATACTTTGACTGATGACATTACTCCTACATCATTCCCAATGAGTAGTATGTCATCAACATAGAGAACCAAAAATACTTTGGCACTCCCACTGACCTTCTTGTAAACACAAGGTTCATCCATATTTTGCGAGAAACCAAACAATTTGATTGCCTCGTCAAAACGAATATTCCAACTTCGAGATGCTTGCTTGAGACCATAAATGGACCTTTGCACACTTTATTTTCTGCACCATGAGATATAAAACCTTCTGGTTGATGCATATAAATTTCTCCTTGAATATAGCCATTCAAAAATGCGGTTTTAACATCCATTTGCCAAATTTCAAAATCATAGTGTGCAGCAATTGACCAAAAAATCCTTATGGACTTTAGCATGGCTACTGGCGAAAAAGCTTCTTCATAATCAATACTAGCCTTTTGGTTATACCCTTTTGCCACTAGTCTTGCTTTGTAGGTCTCTACCTTTCCATTGGGTCCTAATTTTCTTTTATATACCCATTTGCAACCTATGGGTTTAATACCCTCAGGTTTATCTACTAAGGTCCAAATAGCCATTCAAAAATGCGGTTTTAACATCCATTTGCTAAATTTCAAAATCATAGTGTGCAGCAATTGACAAAAAAATTCTTATGGACTTTAGCATGGCTACTGGCGAAAAAGCTTCTTCATAATCAATACTAGCCTTTTGGTTATACCCTTTTGCCACTAGTCTTGCTTTGTAGGTCTCTACCTTTCCATTGGGTCCTAATTTTCTTTTATATACCCATTTGCAACCTATGGGTTTAATACCCTCAGGTTTATCTACTAAGGTCCAAACCTTATTAGAATACATTGAGTCCATTTCAGATTCCATGGCTTTTTGCCAATGCCCAGCATCTTTGTCATTAATTGCCTCTTCATATGTAAATGGATCATCATCAGACAATTCTGATTCCATCTGATAAATCTCATTTAACAGCGATAACTTAACTAGAGGTCTAATGATCCTTTTACCACGCCGAGGTTCTTGTGCAACAATTGGTTCAGTGGGCTTACTTATTTGTCCTTCACTTTGACTACTTGCCCCATCCATTGAAATGTCAGTTACTTCTTCAAGAACAATTCTTGTTCTATTTTCATTGAAAATATAATCCTCTTCTAAAAAAATAGCATTTCTGCTAACAATAATTTTTTGTTCTTTAGGATTATAAAAATAGTAACCAAATGCTGTCTTAGGATATCCAAGGAAAATGCATCTATCAGTTCTCAATTCCAGTTTATCAACATTTTTCTTTTTCACATGTGTTGGACAACCCCATATCCTAATATGTTTTAGACTAGGCTTTTTTCTAGTCCATAATTCATATGGAGTTTTAGGAACTGATTTAGTAGGAACTCTATTCAACAAATAAATAGCCGTTTCTAATGCAAATCCCCAAAAGGAAATTGGCAATTCTGACATGCTCATCATTGAACAAACCATATCTAATAAGGTTCTATTTCTTTTTTCTGCCACCCCATTATTTTGTGGTGTGCCCATGGGGATTAATTGAGATATGATACCATTCTCTTTTAAATAATTTCGAAAATCATCTAAAAGGTATTCTCCCCCACGATCTGATCGGAGAGCTTTGATGCTTTTTCCAAGTTGCCTTTCTACTTCATCACGAAATTCCTTGAACTTTTCAAAGGATTTAGAATTATGTTTCATTAGGTACAAATAACCATACCTAGAATAATCATCGGTGAATGTAATGAAATAGTAAAAACCACCTCTTGCCATGTGATTTATTGGACCACAAACGTCTGTGCGTATTAATCCCAAAACTTTTGTGGCTCTAATTCCTTTTCCCAAAAATGGAATTTTAGACATTTTTCCTTGCAAGCAAGGCTCACAAATTGGATAGGGCTCAATTTTCAAAAAATCTAAAGGCCCATCCTTGACCAATCTATTTAGACGTTCTAAATTGATATGACCAAGTTTCAAGTGCCACATGTAAGTATGATTAACATCCATTTTTCTTTTAAGGGGTAACATACCAATGGATATATGATTCTCAATACAATTAATGGAATTATCAATAGGACTAATAAAGTAAAGACCATCTATTAAAATGCCAGAAATCACAAATTTATTATTGTGCTTAATAACAACTTTTTTCAAAAATCATCTAAAAGGTATTCTCCCCCACGATCTGATCGGAGAGCTTTGATGTTTTTTCCAAGTTGCCTTTCTACTTCATCACGAAATTCCTTGAACTTTTCAAAGGATTTAGAATTATGTTTCATTAGGTACAAATAACCATACCTAGAATAATTATTGGTGAATGTAATGAAATAGTAAAAACCACCTCTTGCCATGTGGTTTATTGGACCACAAACGTCTGTGTGTATTAATCCCAAAACTTCTGTGGCTCTAATTCCTTTTCCCAAAAATGGAATTTTAGACATTTTTCCTTGCAAGCAAGGCTCACAAATTGGATAGGGCTCAATTTTCAAAAAATCTAAAGGCCCATCCTTGACCAATCTATTTAGACGTTCTAAATTGATATGACCAAGTTTCAAGTGCCACATGTAAGTATGATTAACATCCATTTTTCTTTTAAGGGGTAACATACCAATGGATATATGATTCTCAATACAATTAATGGAATTATCAATAGGACTAATAAAGTAAAGACCATCTATTAAAATGCCAGAAATCACAAATTTATTATTGTGCTTAATAACAACTTTTGAAGAAAAGGAAAAATAATATCCCAACGAAATTAACTTTGAAATAGAAATTAAATTTCTACGAATGTCTGGCACAAATAGACAATCTTCTAAAACCAGAGTCTTATTAAATGATAATTCCAAATAAAAAATTCCTATGGAAACTGCTGCAACTGTTGCACTGGTTCCTAACTTTATTAGCATCTCCCATTCATTAAGCCTTCTGGTCTCCTTGAACCCCTGCAACATATTGCAAATATGTGAGGTCGCACCAGAGTCTACACACCAAGCATTAGGAGGACCAATCAATAAATTGGTTTCAATAACAAACAGATTTAACATACCTTCCGAAGGTTTGTCCTTTTTTAGTGTTGTCAAATAATGACGGCAGTTTCTCTTCCAATGGCCAGGCTTTCTACAATGGAAATAATTTCCTTTGTTTTTCTTCTTATCTATTCCCTTTTTAAAAACACCTACTTGGAGCCCATAGGTTTCTTATTAAAATTATTTTTTCCTTTAGGCTTGAATTTTCTAGGGCCTTCCTTCTCACCCATCATCACAGTGGGTTGGCTCTTTTTAATAAGATCCTCTGCCGCTTGCAACATATTAAGCAGCTCTGATGGTGCAACAATCATCTTATTCATATTGTAATTCAAAATAAACTGATTATAAGAATCTGGTAAAGATGAAAGTATCGCATCAATTTTAGTTTCACCATCAATATCTGCACCCAAAGTTTCCAATATGTTAATGAAGGATATCATTTTTAGAACATGTTCCCGTACTGGAGTACCTTCCACTATTTTGGTGGACATCAAACCTTTCATGGCTGTTTGGCGTGCACTTCTGCTTTGTTCTCCAAACATTTCTTTCAAGTTAATCATCATGTCTTTTGCAGTAGGAACACCCTTATGCTGCTTTTGCAACACATTGGTCATTGAGACCAATATGTAGCATTTTGCAACATCGTCCGCCTCATGCCACTTCCTAACAGCCTCACGTTGTTCATCAGTGGCATCCACCTCAGGAAGCACAGGTGGATCAGTGGCTAGGACATAGTTCAGTTTTTCAGCAGTGAGGACAATTGTTAAATTTCTCTTCCAATCCACATAGTTTGATCCAGTCAAACGATTATCATCAATAATTTTGGACAAAGGATTAAAGTTGGTCCTTTTGAACTGCGTATGTTAAAAATTAAAAGTAAAATAAAAACATGTGTTAGAAGAATATAAGTATTGCATTGTATATAAATCCATAGGATGCGGGATTTTGAATATATTATGGTAATGCTCACTAGAATTATTATTCAAACAACCATAAACAATTTATAACCCCACCAATATAACACTTATATTTAAAATATTCATAGTGAGCATTGGGAAACCAATCTTGCATGTACAAAAATTTATTTTGAAATAAATGAACGTGCCTTGAATGGGTGGGTAGCTACTACTCATCATAATATCATCTCATGCTATCATTTTTCTTTTAAATTTATTTATGACTCCCAATTTTCTTTTGGCCTCCAAAACAACTCATATGACACCTTTTGGTTACCATATAGTATTTGTCTAAATGCAAACCATTGATTAGTTACATAGCTGAACATGTAAGATTATGCCTTCATTTTAGCTGACACTCCCACTAGTCACACTTATATTTTTCACAAAATAAATAAAACAAACTAATTAATTATAACCCAACCGACCCTTTTGGTATCATTTGAATATCAATTAATTAGAATTTTTATTTACCAACAATGGAGGGCCACATGCATTATTTTCTTAAAATAATCTTATTTAACACTTAATCATTAAAATGGAGTACCAATAACATTACAACTAATTTATCTCCATAAATTAACAAACTAGTTTATATGCTACCTTACAGCAACATGAAACCAAAAACAAGTAATAGCGGGGTGCAAATTAATCAGCGATTAATCAAGTCCAGTAAAACAGTTTTTTTTTTTTTTTTTCGAAATTGTAATCATGGATATGAACATGCATCAACAGTAAGCAAAAATAAATAATAAAAATAAAATAATGATTGCATGTGAATGTTTTCCTTTTAGGCCAATCCCCAATAAAAACCAAACCGGAAGTGCACCGTTATCACCGATTGAACGATATGTTTTATTTATTTATTTATTTAAACGGTGACATGTGCCTAATATACATATAGGGCATTGATTCAGACCACCTTAAAACTCCCACCCCCACCACCCCACATACACGTGGAGGTTGGGGATTGAGAGAGAAGAAAAGAAAAAAAAGAAAAAAAAAAAAAATTGACCAATCAAAAGTAAAGGGGTCCCAATCTTTATTCATATATACATATATATTATTTATTTCGCTTCCTCATTTGAAATTGCGAAACCATTCTTTCCTTTCCTTTTCTTTTTTTTTTTAAAACTGTTTCGGTCCCTTTTCTTTTGTGATTAATACAAGAAAATATAGATTCACTACAACAAAAAGCACTTTTGGCAACTAAAATTGCATTTTTTGTTGCTGAAAGTAGTACAATTGGCGACTAAAATGGAATTAGTTGCCAAAATTGATCACTTTTGCCGACTAAAAGAGTTTAGTCGCCAAATATAAGGGTATTAGAGACTAAAAGGCAGTTTAGTCGTCGAATGTAGGGGTTTTAGCGACTAAAGGTTATTTAGTAGCCAAAAGTTACGGTTTTTGGCGACTAAGAATGATTTAGTAGCCAAAAGTGAGGGTTTTGGCGACTAAAAACAATTTAGTCGCTGAAAGTGAAGCTTTTTGGCTACAAAAAAAAAATAGTAGCTAAAAACAGTCCATTGCCGACTAAAATTCAGTTTAGTAGCCAAAAGGGGACGTTTTTGGCGACTAAAAACAGGTTTAGCTGCCAAAACTGCTTATTTCTAGGCGGAACTTCATTTTTTAGCGACTAAATAATAATTAGTAGCCGAAAATGATAGAATTGGCGACTAAAAATTTAATTTAGTCGCCAAAAGTGGCATAAATTTTTTTTAAGTAAATAATTTATTTTTTACATAAATTATATTGAATTAAAAAAATTATATTTATATATATTATTTTGTATTAATACCGGTTAATATACTATATAAATAATATATATTACATATATATTCATGTGATGTTGTAGTGGCATAGTGGAGGGAGTGTGTTGCAAAATGCAAAAAGGTTCGGAATGTTGGGATGGTTGGGGTTTTGAAAAACTTAGAAAAAGCAAAAAACAAGTGAGGTTTTTTTTTTTTTCGACGGAAACACTTTGGCGACTAAAATTATGTCGCCAAAAGTCTTTATTTTGGTGACTAAACTATGTTTAGGTCGGCGATATGAGTGAGTATTGGCGACTAATTATTAGTCGGTAATGTATGATTTTCAAGACGTGGTAAACAATATTGGCGACTAAAGTTTTGGTCACTAAAACTTGTAGTTTTGGCGACTAAAAAAGTTTAGTCGGCCAATACCTCCGCCGGAACCACATATGCGCGGACAACTGTTGGCGCTAAAAATTTTTGTCGGGAAAAGTAAAATTTCGACTTTCGTGACTAAATATATATTCAACAAATATATAATCAACTATTATGCAGAGCAACATTGAATATCCAAATATAAAAACCAAAAAATAGATTCATTTAATAAAATGGCGTGGCCTCTGAATACATGAAAGTTTGCGGAAAAATAATTTAGTCTTTGAAACAAACACTTTTTCAAAGAACAACCACCGAATTACATAATCTAATAATACCTTGCTCCAATGTGTTGTTGATAATACCGTCACCATGCGATCCAAGTGTCTCGGCCTCCAAGGTAATATCACCGTGCACCTCTTTGGCTTTATTTTTGTGTATAGTATTCTTCTACAGA